CCTCCCAGCTTGACAGGAACGCGTCTGTGAAAACTGAGACGCGTGACGTAGGCCTGCTGATGGGAACTCCCTTTGACAGAATGAGGGGGTTTCCCCAGTGATTCAGATCGGTTCTCACGGTGGGGGGCACAAAGATGATCCGCCTCTTCTGGCGCACAGGATCTATGCGCAGGTGGGCAAACCATCTCTGAAGGCATCTCATGTGAAGTAGGCCCAGCGGATCCACGATGTGGGCCGCTGACATTGTCCCAGGAGTCGCATCACAGGCAGACTGTCACTATGCTGCAGAGTTTGACATGGCGGCGCTGAGCTGATAGAGCTTCGGCTCTCAGCTGTGATAAACGGGCTCTCATTGTGGTTGAGTTTAGCTCCACTTCCAGATAAACAATCATTTGGGACGGACGAATGGAACTTTTTCCCAGTTTATAGAAAACCCCGGTTTAGCAGGTGTAACACTAGCGTTTTGGTCTGTTCAACTGCTTCCTATCTGGACCGAGCTAATTCATTCATTCATTCAACCTTTATTTAAACAGATAAATCACATTTAGCCTCGAAGACTCATTTACAAGTGAGACCTGTTTGGAAAGACAAAAACAGTGGTTAACTGGACACATGTAGGAGTTGGAGGCGAAAAAAATTCCTATCAGACTTTTTTTTTTCCTGCCAAGAAAATCCCCCTCTAATATAAAAAAACACCTTGCAAAAACAAGCACACAGTAACGTAGACATTCTGCAGACAGAGGAGACGAGATTGGTCAGCAATGTTCATAGATGCTCTTGAGGTCACTGTAAGAGTTCTGATAAGGATGGAAAATCAGTCAATGTCCTCTGGTGAGATCCATAAACATTCTCAAGGTGTGTCAAGGAATGGCCAAGAATAACGTCTATGAGAATCCAAGAGTCCTGAAATGATGACACAAAGTTTATTCAGCTGGTTCCATCTGGTTATCAGTTGGAAATTCCTCAGGGAGGGGGTGGTGAGCATCAGATCACATGTACTCCAGGCAAATTCAGATAAGATGGCCTTCAAGGGAGCCAACTTCAGATAAACACACAGTTGTTTTGGGGACAGGCAGAACTTAATGACATCTACCTTTAGTCTGTGTTGGTTGACTCGGTTCCGAAATGTCCAAAATACATGGCCACACCGATGGAATGTGACTGAGTAAAATCCTCAAGATCTGATCCATTCAGCCCAAAGCATTTGAGTCTGGGTACTCAAGACATGAACCAAGCCATCATAAAGGCAAGCAGTGTAATTGGGTCCAAATTTGCTGCAGACGAATTCCTTGTTTGATTGATAAAACCAGCCACCAGCCGAATCCAAAAAGCAGGAACCAGTTTATAAGTTAATAAGAACAGATTGTCCAGATAAAAAGAATTCTCATTCCTGCCACGTGTAATGACTGCAGAGCCATCTCCACGCATTTCGAGAACGTGCTTGGGGTGTTTCAGAATGATGGAAAATGTGAAAATATGCACTCTTCAGATCTATGGAGGTGAAAACCAGTCTTTCTGGTGAAGTTCTCCAGCAGCTGTTTGTCAGCATCTGGAATTGTCTTCCCATGATCAAATTGCTGAACATGAACAAGCCGAGAATGGGTCTCATCCCTCCAGTTTTTTCTCAGAACCAGGAAGTAGTGGGAGGAAAAAAACCCGTATTTTCCTCTTCGTTGGGAACTCTGGAATTCACGTTTATCGTCAGAAATTCCTGAACTTTTGACTGGAGAGATGAGCTCTGTTCTGGAGAAGACAGAACCGTCTTTATAATCCTTCTGAACGGTGGGGGTTGAGCTGCGAACTGTAGCGTGTAACCCCTGCTGATCAGACGGTCCGTCCATCTGTCCAGGGAACACACTCACTGCCACTCTGAGTAACGCTCGGAGAGCGGGCACACATTTTGTGTTGTCATGTTTCTCATGAACGTCAACCAGACAAAAAACCTTTACTGCCATCACCCGCTCTGGAGATTCTCAGATCCGGGTGGAACCCAAGGGGCTCTCCAACAGAAAAAAGGGCTGTATATGTGCCTCTGTTCTGAGCCCAGGCTGCGATCTCGCATTAGAGCTGAGATGAGCCGGCGCGCACTGAGAGGAGGCGTGACTGCTTTCTGAGTGAGACGCCGTTTCGGTTGAGGCTGCAGCTGTCATGGAGAAATGCATTTACTCCCGCTGCGCTGTGAGTGGGCAGAAAACAGCAGAAATTAAAAATGGACTCTGGCTGAAAACGAGGGATTTTACCGGACTCAGTCTGCTGAAAAAACATCAAACATCATTTTAGCTGATGTGGCAGACGAGTGTTTTGTGATATTTACCGAACTGCGGTGCCATTTAAAATGCTGTTTAGAGGTTATTGGCTCGTTCTGTGTGGGGAATGTGTGAAGAGAGGCAGCTGTGAGATCAGCTTATCTGACAGTCTCAGATGAAAACTTTACTTTCAGAGCTATTTCTGTTTTATTTCAAAACATACATAATCAAAAAACACACACATTCCCCTCAAGGAGCTGTTCCCTGGTGGAGGGGGCCGGCAGAGGAGCAGAGCGTGAAGTCGCTGCCGCAGCTGTGGAGAGCCTCTGCTGTTGTTGCTGGCCAAGGTGGTCCCTCCAGCAGCCAGAGGGGCGGGAGGAGGACTGTGACGTCACCAGATGGTGTACAGTCTCTGAGACCTCCTCGAACTTCTGCTATTTCTCAAGGATGGTCCTGAAGTTGGCCCCGAACAAAGCCTCTGGGGTGATGGGGCCCTCTAGCAGGTCTTTCTGCAGCCTCTCGGACAAGGATAGAGAGAGGCAGAGCCAGGTGGTCCTCTGGATCATGGTCATCCAGGCGGCGATGCGGGACAGGCAGACCGCAGAGGTGGTGCACATGTTTAAGATGACATCAGCGGCTTCACAGAGAGAGCTCTTTGTCGCCTCCAGCAGGTCTGCTTCCCCCAGTCTCTTTGAGATGCTGTAGGCCAGCAGAGCGATGTTGTTGTTTGCTGCAACCGCCTGGGATGTGCACTGGTGAGCTCGGTTGGAGAGCTTTGTCACCCTCTGGTCATGCTTTCCTAGAGAGATAGGTTGCCGGTCCTTCCTGGAAACTTTTGCCCCAAGTGCCTCTGCCAGGCTTGGCTCCAGGGGAGAGAACCGAGGGAAAAACACCGATCGGTAAAAACCCTCAACTCTGGAGATGAAGGCGAAGGTGGAGACGGATGTCTTCAGCTTGCCGGGCCCAGTTGCAGCCTCGTTCCAATGTGATGTCACAGCTGAACAGCGAGGCCAGATAGGATCAGGGCGACGAGCCGGGGCGGAGCCAAACCTTCCCGCTAGATCATCCGATCAGGGCAGAAGGAGGCGAGGGAAGGAAAGTCCCTTTGTGATAGCAGCCTCCTGGATTATGAAGGGCAGCTTCGAGAGGAGGGCGCAGACGGCTGGGAGTGGTATGGTCGCCGAAGTGGGAATACCCGAGGTGGCTGAGCATCCGTTCGACCGCTCTTCTTCCGTCACTACACTCTCCAGGAGGGAAGGGACAGTGAGGTTGTTTCCAGCATTGCCTTTCACTGAGGAATCATTCGCTTCACTGCATGACTCTGCGTCAAAGAAAGGCGGTGGCATCGTCCTGCGCATAGCATCCCGCCACGGAAAAAACACTCTGCGGAGCTGCTGCCCGCATCACCTTTTTTGAGGGAATCATCCGATTCACCGAGGAAAACACGTTAGAAAAGGCGATGGCGTCGTCCAGCGGGTAGCGGCTTGCCCGCTGGAGAAGAACACTCCTCCGCACTTACCTTGAACAAGGCTGCTCATCTCTGCTTCTCCTCGGGGAGGAGGAGCTCACTGGGACGGCAGGAGGTTGGCGTGGCGGAGACCCAGGCATCCTTAGCAAAAGTTGTGCCGTTCAAAGCTGGACATCTTTTCCTTCTTCGTTCTTCTGACAGTGCTAGCTAGCTGGCTGAAGAAAAAATGGGAGCCGATTACCCGGTCACCGTAATTTACACAGACCAGGGGTGAGGCCCACACAGCAGGTGGGTGTGGACTAAAGTTTTCAGTGCTGCGCTGTGCACGAAGGGATAAACCCACTAGTGATAGCCTTAAAGGGTGAAGCCTATACGAAATATAATGCCTTGGAATCCCTCTAGAAGAGCAGGAAGACGTGGCTGTGGAAAGAGATGTCTGGACCTCCTTGCTCAAGCTGCTGCCCCTGTGACCTGCCTTCGGACCGAGTGGAAGATGATGGATGGATGGATGTCAGAGATTCAAACTACCATTGATGAACTCGAAATACAAATTAATCAACTTTAAGCAATAAGATCAGAACGGTCACAAAGATGCACAGATTCAGTGATGGGGAAGAAAAAAACCCACAAGAATTAAAATTCTCCAAAGAGAGGTAGAGCAACCACAGACAACGCTAACCTGTTTGTATGAGCTAAAATCTTGTTTCTCCTCATAGTTTCTTAAACACTGATTATCTGGAGGTTTTCCCCATCTATATAAAATCAAAAAACATTGCCTTTTGGCTACAGGCAAGTAAAAAACCCACAGGTCTTAAAACATTGCCACAAAGACAAAAAAAAAAAGGCAAACGCAAAAAAAGTTTTTTCTCATTAAGTCAAAAATCCCAAACTATTACCATGTGAGAAACTAAGACTACAGAATACTATACATAAGAGATGAGTAAATGGCACAATTAAAAAAGATACTTCACATCACTTCAAACTCAAAATGCATGACTATCCAAACAGAAAAGTGACCTAACTAGTGACCGAAGACGAGAACGAAAGGGACATAAAACAAGAGCTGCAGCAGAATCAGATTCTCCACTTGGTGGATATGTTTCAAAAGCTTTCATTGTGTTTTGTAGCAGAACTTGGAAACATTTGCTTTTTATATGATTGTCAATTCTTGTCTGTACCTCATCTGTGTTGTTTATTTAAAACCGGTCTCTTATAAATGAGTCCTCGTGGCTCAATGAGACCAACCTGTGGAAATAAAGGTTTAATGGGTGTTTTTTGCTTCACAGAAAATTTCCGTGCTTTGTGCACCGGAGAAAAAGGATTTGGTTACAAAGGCTCCTCCTTCCACCGTATCATACCAAAGTTCATGTGCCAGGTACACTTCTGGTGGAAGTTTGATTTTCTGTGGTCTCATATTGGTGTCTCAGGCACGATTGTGAACTGCTCTGTTTCCTTTCTATTTATTCTTAGGGTGGGGATTTTACCAATCATGATGGAACTGGGGGTAAATCTATCTACGGAGAGAAGTTTCCTGACGAGAACTTCCAGTTGAAGCACAAGGGAATGGGGACTCTGTCCATGGCCAACGCGGGACGCAACACCAACGGGTCCCAGTTCTTCATCTGCACCGCCTCCACTGATTGGTGAGCTGCTGGCACATTTCTGTTTCACAGCTCCAGGTGTTGCTTCTCATACTAATCGGCTGCTCTGCTGTGCAGGCTGGACGGAAAGCATGTGGTGTTCGGCAGCGTCGTGGAGGGCATAGATGTTGTCAAGGCGATGGAGAAGCAAGGCTCAAAGAGCGGCTCTCCTAAAGCCAAGGTCGTCATTGTCGATTGTGGCGAGTTAAAATAAAGCAGCTCCTCTCTAATGTTCCCAGAAAAAGGCCTACTTCAAACCCAAGTGTCGTCTGCTGTGACTTGTTCTGTAATATTTCATCCTTTCTGTGCTTAAAGAATCTTTTAACTAAATCTGTGTCAAATTACTGAATATGTAAATAAATGTGTTGCTTTATGTGTAATTTTGAGGTGACTTTGTAACATTTGCAAAAAAACATTTATTTTTATATCCTCAACTAAGAAAAACATGAACAATGCAAATGAGGAAGAAGTTTAATATTTTTTGACTTACTGTAGGAGTCTGAGCACAAGATGGTTTTAAATATTGTAAACCTTTTCATTTGGTGTACTCTACAACCAAAGTAGAGATGGTAAAACTTCCACCACTTTGTTTCTGTTGGAGAAAATTTTTCTCGCTTTACCTTACTTTTTCAAAAGGAGTCACATTCAACAGCAAGAGAAGATTTTTTTTTTTTTACCAGAATTTTACTTGTGTAAGAATGTGATCTGATCTGAAGCAGGGAGAGGAGGAGAATTGTCTTCCATTTCAGAAGGTTTATTTTGCATGTAAAGTACAAGATCACCAGCCCTGGGCCATTATAACTCCCACCATGTGGCCATGAACAATGGCGCCTAACGTAAACAGACAACCCATCTTCTTCAGAGCTCGGCCACACCTCCTGGAGTCGTCACCACCATCAACGAATGGGAAGTCCTACTCTATCATGTGACCCAGCTCTCAACCAATAATATCTATCCATCTTGTGTTCTATAATGGGTGGGTGCGTGAATGTTGGGAGTTGTAGGCATGTAGCTAAAACTACATTTTCTACCAGAAACGGAATCAGATCATGTTTTAATACAATATTCTAAATATCAAAACGGGATACATATATCTAGACATTTCATTAAGTTATATTATCTAATAAAATTATATTTCACTTGGAAGGTCAGATTTTTAGGACAGGTTACACAGAGATACAGGAAGTACACACATGTAGACCAGTCCCTGCCACAAGCTGTGTGAAGCTTTTTTTTTTTCCCCCTTGTCCTGTCCGGCATTGTGACACTTAGAATTATTGTCTGAGTGTCAAAGTGATGCCCAACAGATTTACTTTCACAAGCAGAGCATTATGGCTGGCCTTAATGCTCCACTTGATATGAAAATTAAATTTTATTAGAATGTGCTATGGGCTTGTTTCAGATGTAATAGACATGGGAATGAAAAACAAAAAAGATAAGATAAATCAAACTTGTTTTTATACACTTATCGCAGAGCTCACAGACTCAGAAGTGTCCTTGAAGCAACAGCTGCACGCTGCAGCCCAGTGGTGATTTTAGTATCTTTTTGTGGGTGCTTTTAACTGCATCCCAGAAAAATAAATTAAAAACAATGATAATTTTATTATCATTATTTTTTGGGCGGTTCTGGGTAGGGATGGGACCCATTTGGTATCGTTATCGGCCTCCAATACCAGCATGATTTACATACCGGATTTTTCCGATCCAAACTGTCGATCTTTCCGATCCATGATGCATGTCTGTGTTGGCTTCAAACTATGGAATGGATTTCCTGAACGGAGGCATGTCTCATGAAGCCCAGAGTAATAAGACCCGCCTCACATTCAGGAAATCCATTTCATCGTTTGCAGCCAGCTAAAACGTGAGTAAATACTCTTGAGGGCTGAGCACTGAGCAGCACTGTTGCCATTACCAACTTTTCATCGTAACATGTCCGCTATGTGGAAGTATTGTACACTAAACACCGCAAAACAGCAACGTGCAATGTCTGCAGAGCCGCTGTACCGAGAGGGGGAAGCTCGGTCACGACCTACAATGCATCGAACTTAATAAACATTTGAAAAAACACCACATTAAAGAGCACGAGGATTGTTTAGCCAGGCACTGCGGTAACGTTAGTTTTACGGTGGACGTTCGAGCTCCATGGCTTCAGCGGTGTGTTCCTCTCGTTCAGGCCGAAGCAGGCAGTCTGATTTCAGTCAGCCGCGCTCAGTCTGCCCATCTCGAAGGAGGAGCAGACTGAGCGCAGCTGACTGAAATCAGACTGTCTGCTCCGCAGCTTGATTGAATACTTGCAACCAAGATATAGTTTACATTTACCCTCCAGGAGATATTTATCAGCTCAAGATGAGAGTTCTGTGATGGAGTTAAATTCAAAGCAGTCTGCTCAGATAAATAGTCTTAAATTATTATTTTTATATATGAATGTTTCTTTTAACTTATTTTAATGTTTCTGTCCTGAAATAACTTCTGTTGTGACTTGGTGCTATATAAATAAACTGAATTGAACAGACAATCATAAAAAAGACCATGAACTGAAAAAAAAAAAAAAAATATATATATATATATTTATAAAAAAGAAACAAAAACAGCTACATTATAAAGTGATGTAAAATACTAAAAACAGGAACATGTCTGTGTTGGTTTATGCCATGAACTTAGCAGATGTTTGAAGTCATTTAGTCACTTTAATATCCGCTTTAAAGATAGGAATAAATAGTATGTTTTGTGTTAGCAGAATTTAATTCTAACTTTGAAACTTATCCAGCATTAATAAAAGTTACCTCAAGTTGCCTTTTTGGACATACATGCATTTTTTTGTACTGTACTTGAGAGGAGATTAAAGCCTCATAAAATCAGTTATGATTAACTGATTATGGCATGGGAGGCATGGGATATCCCATCATGCCTGTGGGTGTGGTGGCAGGGAAGGCCATGACTGACGTGGCATGGAGACGGGGTTCCAGGTCGTGGTGGGCGCCGCCTTGGGCTGCCAGTTGGTGCCGCCGGTCATCCTCCTCTCCCCCGGCTGGCTCCAGTGGATGTCATTCGTCATGGTGCCGTTACCGATGCCGAGGTTGCCGACAAGGTTGGCCAAAGAGGAGTCGAGGTCGTCCGACACCACCACTATCTAGCTGGAATCTAGAATCTGGAATCTAGCTGTTTTTTGTTTTGTTACCTTTTCCTTTTAGCCATCCTATTTGTTAAAAAAAAAAAAAAAAAAAAAAAAAACCTGTAGTATGCTTTTTTATAACTGTTTATTGTTGTTGCTGTTGTCCATTGTTGTCATCTTTCTTTGTTGAAATCAGGTCTCTCTTGTAAATGAGTCCTCGAGGCTCAATGGGATTTACCTGTATAAATAAAGGTTGATTGATTGATTATGATATCGGAACAGTATCAGTCGATATACAGATGTAGGTATCGGATCAGAAGTAAAAAAATGTGAATCGGTGCATCCCTAGTTCTGGGTTTGGGTTCTCTTTATTGCATTTATGATTCAGTGTAACAAAATCAGTTAACACTAAAATGAATTTGTACAAAATGTTTATTAAGCTGTGTAATGTAAGCTACGTCTGTAGCATCTCAGCTAGCTAGCGCGTCTGTATTGTACGCTGCTAACTTAGCGCTACTTCTTGTTATACCATGCTCTCTAAAATAGTTATTAAATAAAGTATTTACTAATGTAGGTAAACATAGAGGTTTAACTTTTTGTTGTTGTTGTTGTTGTTGTTGTTGTTGTTGTTGTTGTTGTTGTTGTTGTTGTTGTTGGCTACTCCCTTCCTCAGGGCTCACCACAGCGAACTGAGTCACACGAAGACTTGGCAATTATTTTTACACCAGATGCTCTTCCTGACGATGCTCTTCCTGACACAACCACAGACCACCGAGCTACCACAGCCCTCTTTGTGGAGCAGAGAGCTGCTATATAGGGTGCCCGGGGGAGCAGATAGTGGGGGTTAGGGGTCTTGCTCAAGGGCCCAGAGTGGGACAAGTAAGGGTGGAGGCAGGTGTAGGTTCTTCACCTATCCCACCCACATTTTGATGTTGTCTGTACCGGGAGTTGAAATAATGATCTTCCAATCACAGGCCCACCTTCTCTAACCTTTGTGCTACCCCTCCCAATCATGATGTTTAATAACCCATTAAATACACCAGAATGCAGGAAATGGCATCTACTTTATTCAAAAATTAAAAAAACTTCTGGGGGAGGACCCCCATATCCCCCACCAGTGTGTCCCCCCAACATTATGAACGCTTCTGAAGCCAGTGGCCACCACGTAGTTCAAGCCAAAAGCCATTGTCGGCACTGGGGGCTAAGCACCCCTAATGGCCAGATTCTAGAATCGCCCCTGGTTTTTAGTAAAGTTGGAGGTGTTGACTTCCTGTTAAGATTCAGTTTCAATTCAATTCAGTTTATTTATATAGCGCCAAATCACAACAAAGTTGTCTCAGGGCACTTTACAGAAACATTCACATACATAAAAGCCAGTTAGTAAAGTTCTCTATCTAAGGAACCCAGTAGACAAGTTGAATCTTGGATTCGTTGCAGTCTCCCATCCTGAGTAAGCACAGTGGCAACAGTGGAAAGGAAATACTTGTGCCAGATCCTGTGGCACCGACAGAGATGATGCTGAATGGAAGGAACAGAGATGCCAGATTTTTGGGAGGGAAATAAGGGTGGAGTGTATCCTAGAGAGGCTTCAAAGGGAGACAGACCTGTGGTGGATGAAGTCTTGGAGTTATGAGCGTATTCAACCCAGGGTAGGTGTTGGCTTCAGGTGGGTTATTGTCAATAACGCACCTTAATGCAGCTTTGATCCCCTGATTGCACCTCTCAGTCTGACCATTACACTGAGGGTGGTATCCCGAAGTCAGGCTGGAGGTGGCTTCCAAGGCCTGGCAGAAGGCCTTCCAGACTTGTGAGGTGAATTGAGGACCTCTGTCAGAGACTATATCGAGGGTTATGCCGTGTAATCGAAAAACATGTTTTACCAGAATCTGGGCTGTTTCTGATGCTGAAGGTATTAACTAAAGGTACAAAATGTGCTGCTTTGGAAAAGTGATCGATGATAGTGCATACAGCTGAATTACCCTCAGAAACCGGTAGGCCAGTGACAAAGTCCAAAGCTATATTGGACCATGGACGCCCAGGTTTAGGTAGGGGGAACATTCTAGCATGCTGTTTGGTTTTATATGACCCCAAGTGGCAGACCAAAAACACAAGGCCACAGGGATACAAAATTGTGATATTTTTATTTACAGTGCAGCAGCGGGTTTGGCTGTGGGAGGAAAAGGGGAGATGAGATGAG